TGACCAAGAATGCCACCATACTGCTCATCCACAATTTGGGGAAAAGCCTTACAAAAACTAAATGTTTGCTCATATACCTTGTTGGAAAGATATATCCTTGTCTGTAGGTTCATAGTTAGGCATGCTGGTAGATATAATCTAGAAGAGGAGATAAACCATTTTCCCATCCCTGGTAGAAGGATTTTTGAAAATTAAAAATCATTAAACTGAGCTTTACTCTATGTAAGATCTTCTGAAATGCATTAGATTTTCTACACACATTTTAATGCTTTCTTTTGGCAGGTATCATAACTCAGAATATGTGGATGAGCGACATCGACATAGATACGAGGTTGACCTCTTAAAATGTTCAATGCATGCTATCATGTGATTTGCATGGATATCTAATTATCTCAATTATGGTGCAGGTGAATCCTGAAGTAGTTGGCATTTTGGAGGAAGCTGGATTGAGATTTGTGGGAAAGGATGAAAGTGGGAAAAGAATGGAGGTCAGTTTTGGATAGAATTTTTCAAAAAATTGATGACTGTTGCTTGTTGAATGGTTAAGCTGGCTAAATGCTGGGGGTGGGGAGCGAAACAACGAGGTTCTTTTTAATTGCTATAAAATGGACATGTAATAAAAGGTTTTTTAACTTCCTTGTCCTTGTAACAAGTATTTGGCATTTTGGAGGAAGCTGGATTGAGATTTGTGGGAAAGGTTGCAAGTGGGAAAAATATTGAGGTCAGTCTTGGATAGAAATTTTGACAAATGTGATGACTGTTGCATGTTGAATGGTTTAAGTGGCTAAATACTGGGGGAGGAGCAAAACTATGGGATTGGATTAGCGTGATGTAATATATACAAGTGAGAGAAGATTTTTGACTTCCTTGTCCTTGTAATTTGATTTTTTCTGCCTCCTTGAGTTCTTAACCTGTCCTCCATCCTGGTTCATATCTTTTACTTTGTGCAGATCTTAGAGAATCCCAGCCATCCATTCTATGTGGGTGTTCAATTTCATCCAGAATTCAAGTCACGACCAGGAAGACCCTCAGCTCTGTTTTTAGGTACGTAGAACTTTTCTGTTTTTCTCTATGAAATGAACTGTTTTTATTGAAATTTTATCCTATTCATAAGCAGATTTAGTATTACTGACACAAGACAAGATAGTGATGCCCTTTTCTAGCAATGTTGTCGTAATGTCTGTATTGGGTAATTAAGGAAAACATTTTGAATTGCATTTTCAGATTTTTATGCTACCTAAAAATCTTGGGTTCTCCGTAGGGTTAATTTTGGCGGCCACCGGGCAATTGGAAGCATACCTTACAAAGCAACAGAATGGAAGCCTATAGTCATCATTTTGGATTGTTGCTCAACTTTACTAGGTACTTTGCAATTTTGAGAGGACTTGGGTAATTAAAGGCCTACGGAGTGCGGCTGGAAATTGTTAAAAACATTTTTAAAAGTAAGCAGTCGTTCTGACATTTGCCCAATTTTACCAAATGTTATTATTTATTGCAGTAATTTGCGCATCAATTGCATATTCATAGTAAGGGGTTCTTGTTTTGAGATTGTCGATCTCTCTTAGACTGAGTGATCGTGATGTTTTACCAATTAGTATGGGTGAATTAGCCTTTTAGATTTGTAGTGATACACGAGACAAAACACAGTAATTGTACATTTGAGCTTCCACTCCCCAGGTATTGATGTCCGCAGTATCCTGTAAAGAGCATTTGAAGGTGATGAAGCTGTGGATAGGAAAATGCTTGTAGACGGCCATATTTATATTTAGCAAATTGTGAGGTGCGGAACTTGGAATTGTATGGCGAAATAGTGAACTGAGGGGTGAGCTATAAACCCTTTCAATTCAATTGGGGGTCTTCTGGGTTGAGCAACGAGTTAAAATACTTTTAACATTAATTTTAGTTTGGCCGTCAATAATGTTGACAGTAAAATGTTTCAAGTATGTGACTTTTCTTATTCTTTGTACTTCCTATACTGCTGTGTATATGCCCCGACACCTTCTGTTTTGCAGTTCTTTTGACGATTTCAGGCAGGTTTAGCTGGTGTAACACATACGTTGTTATGGCAGCTGTTTTAGGCAAATACCGTGGTCGGATTATCGGATACGAAAATTCTGAAATGAAAGTATAAACTGGAGGGTCAGGATAATGGAACAATTGGCAGACGGAAATACTCGGAATGGAAAGGGTAAAACTTAAATGGTAACACTCATTAGTGGCTGATGATATGCGGCGCTACAGAGCTGGCAAATGAGTTGGACTTGGGTGTTATTTACGCCCTTGCTGCCTTATGACCCAATATTGCCAGACAACCTTAATAAAGATATGTATGATAAATGAATTTTACGTGCAAATTTCTATTACTAGTAAAGAAAATCTTAATCATCTATATTATTTTGACTAAATGAGTGTTATGTTGGTAGTTACCACTTTGGGCGGTTACATATTAAAGAATATGTTTAAATAGTAGATGAAGAAATGCGTATCAGTAGTTATCTTATCTTGGTAACATGTCTTTGGGTAATTAAAATTAATTTTTTACAAGGATAAAAATGGAGGTACATAAAGTGATAATAAAATGTTTGCACCAAACCCTTTCCTCTTCCTTTATATATGGTATGAATATTGGCATAAGTGTAGTATTGGTATGTGTATTATAGTGCCAATATGTTTATATAGTTTAAATATTATTGTATATTGGTAGTTCTAATGCTTAGGGTTAGTCATGTTGAAAAGTAAATAGTTGAAGTAAAACATGTTTTCAAGATAATTAATCATAAATATGTCTTTAGGTAGTTAAAAGTGGTTTTTATAAGGGTAAAAATGAAAGTTCAAAAAGTGACAAAAAAAATGTTTACACCAAACCTTCCACCTCTCTCTTTAGGATTAATTTTTTTGACACCGACAGTGTGCATATGTGTCAATATTGAATGAATGATAATTATGCAAAATTTGAATTTGATATTCAATTTTGTACATATGTCATAAATTCAATGATGATAGTGTATACACTATCAGTGTTGCTCCTATTTTTATATATTGTATAGACATCAATTTTATTTTCTTGGCAGATGTTAATTGTTGGCGTATCGTGATCTTTATAGTAACTTCACATTTTGGCAAGGAGCAAACACTAACAGCTTTTTAGATCTACCTCATCAAATCTCACCTAACATTTGAGCGTGAATCATTTCATTAGTAGATTTAAAAGGAAACAAGCTAGAAACATTGCATAGATGATTTTAGGGCAATAAATGTTTTATTTTTTAATATTTTTTTGGAGATTTGTATTGTAATATTCTATTGATTTTTCAAATCTGTATTATCTACTATTTGTTGTTCAGATTTGTTTTCATCTATGTATGAGTGATGTAATTTCTGTCATAAGTGCAGATTTAACAAAATGATGATGTTTTTATATATATATATATATATATAAAAAGTTCTGGAATTTGTTTATTAAGGTGTCAACTAGGCGCATTTGACTATTTAGTTTTTGATTTGTATGTGGAGGTGCCGGTAAGCGCTCATCGAGGGCGGTTACAAGTATTAGCTTTTCAAAAAATATAAAAAAAAAAAATTTATAAAAAAGATATTAAGTTTTCAAATGCTTTGGTATAACTGTATAAGTTTTCAAATGCTTTTGTATAACTGTATAAGTTTTCAAATGATGCTTATGGGGTGGCAGTTGGATCCAGCTGCGTAGAGCCAGTGTGCACGCGCCAGCCAACCGCGTATTTGCCGAATCCCGCAAACTTAAAACTTTACTCCCTGACCGTGTGTACATCCCTATTATTTGAATTTCTGTTTATTAGTGCTGCGTTATGACAACAATATAATTAATCATAATGTAATTATTCTCTAGTGATAAATGTTTGAGGGGATAATTTAAGAAACCTAACCTCCACAAAGGTTTCTGACATATTTTATTTGGCACTTTCAAACTTTAAAAAAAATCTCACTTGTTTTCCTTACTTTAAAATTGTTTTTATTTTAACATTTCAAAGTATAACATTACAGACCGCATTTCACATAAGAGAATATAATCTCATTCTAAATTTACACTTTTCTCGTGGCCTCTTAATTGTTATGACACACTAATTCTATTATGTCTCAATTGTTTTTGTAAATTTGGTTGATGTGGCTCTTTAATAGAAATTTAAAAGTTAATAACGGAGTTGAAAGGCCATTTAATTGTTTTGTTTCATTGGTTTGGACATGAAAGATGAAAATTTAAATAATTTATAATACTCATAAAAATAACTTCAAATATTTCACCAAAATAAAAATAACTTTTTTTTTGTATCAGTTAGAAACACCATAAACAAGTTAAAGTATAATTTTTAGCATTTTGTGTATTTCTAGTTTTCGGACCATCGATTTGGATAAAAAATAGAAAATTCAAACAAATAAATGATTTATAAAACTCATTAAATTAAGTCAAAATTCTTTAAAATAAATAAAATAATATTTCTTGTAACTTGATAAAACCTCAAATAAACTTTCAAATGTCAACTCATTGCATTTTAAAAATGAACTATATTTTGTCTCATTAGAATTAAACCTTCATTTTTAAAAATTATTGTCAATATAATCACATTTTTGTTTTTTTTGGAGAAAAAATTATGCTCTCTCCCAAAATGAGTTTTTTAATGTTATATTTTGAAATAGGTTACAAATGTTATAAAAATCTTAAAGTAGGGGAGGCAAGTGAAATTTGTTAGAGTTCAAAGGTCACAAGTGATATTTTTAGCAAAGCTCAAGCAAATTATCCCATGTTGACGCCTCCCTCCCCAAACCCCAACACCAACTGAGTACAACTGTACAACAGTCCAATGGTCCCATCATCAATTTTAAATTCCACCGGACCGCGTTTCGCATCGCGTACATCACCCACTGTACCTTTTCCACGACGCAACACAAATTAAGCTTAAAGCTGCTGCTGCTTCTTGGCTTATAAATACAGCCTTTTCGTCTTAAACTCAACAAATTCCTCCACACCTCCTAAATCACCATTCGCTTTCTCTCGTCCTAGCTAGCTACTTCGTGATCTCAACTCCAACAAAGTACGCCGTGTACCTTGCAACCAGAAAATTGGAAATAGTGCGGTCAGCTGAGCCTATAGCACATTCCAAACCAGGAAAAAGAAAAGAAAAAAAAAAGCAATAAATAAATAAATAAATATGCACAAGCATAAATCAGCAGTAGTTGCTCGAAGAGCCTGGAATTCCCTCCGGCTGGCCTTGCTATGGGCTAGAAGAGGTGAACATTTCAAGAACAGGCGGCTGATGGTGGATCTGCGTTTACTTCCCAAGTTCATCAACAGAACCCTCGGAACCACCTCCTCCAGCAACGACTATTATCGTCATCGACGGGGTGCTCTCCATTACGGCGAGCGGCAGCTTTCATTCGACGATACTCCCGTCATACACTTCAAGATGCATCGTCCTTCTTCCCTGCGATTCAAGATGCCCAACATTCCCTGCATTACTGGTGCCCCCCAGGTGGATTTCGACGACTATGATTTTGATCGCCACGATTGTAGTGGTACCGGTCATGATATGTACTATCTTTCTGAAGCCCACAATGATGTAGCGCTCTCCAGGAAGAGTATTCTCCTAAAGGCAGCAGGCGATTACATTACCAGTGACGAAGAAGAAGAAGGAGATGATGATGATCGTTCCAATACTATGGTTTGTGATCATCAAGAAACCAACGAAACTCCTCGTAGCTGTGACGATGGAATCGATTTGAAGGCGGAGCAGTTCATTGCTAACTTCTACCGACAAATCAAGCTCCAGAGACAAATATCGTATCTGCAATATCATGACATGATTAGTCGGGGTGCGAGCTAGAAATTGCTCGGTGAAACAGCTGTCGCCTCCAATCTATTCCATACCCGTCGACGCCACCCGCTGCTCAAATTTTTTTTTTTTTTTTTTTTGACTTCACACATTTACACCAAATTCCTTTCTATAATAGTTTACTCCGATGAGCATACTAGCATGTGTTGCGGCATTATTTTTGTAGATAACAGAGGCTTTTTGAATAAATGTATTTTCTACAATAACAGAAGGGAAATTCATTGGCTTCCAACGATAATGATATGTTTTCTTGTTGAGCTCTTGCCGTTGTCTGTCGAACACAATCATTAAAGATCGGGTAAAATACAAGAAACCCTCTTGTGGTTTCGCGAAAAGACACCTTACCCCCTATCGTTTAGAAACCTTCACATAAACACCCCAAACTTCATAACTAAAGTAGAAATTGACCTGTAACCGGGCGTGCGATCTAGTGACGATAGATACGCGAGATTTCTTTGAAAAGACATTGAGTTTCATTCCCAAGCTACCCTTCAATTGCTATATTTCATTCCCAAGCTACCCTTCATGAAGGCTTTGCGGGCTACAGCTGGAGCTGTTGTGTTTGCTGCTGCCTTATGGTTCTTGTTAATTAGCATAGTAGCCAACAATGCCTCTGATAAGGCAGCAACAAGAATTTCATCGACCAGAAACCTTAGCATTTTGACGCTGATAGCAAGTAGAAGCCGTCATCTTCCTCGAAGAACTAAGGTGAAGAGCACTCATCATCTGAAGAACTATACCGCTGCCTTTCGGGAAAGGCACTGGAAATTGGCTGCAGATTAGGATTCACATTCACTGGAATTGGAAATTTGTGAGTGGAACCAACTATTGTTCGCTCATTTATCATTCCGACTTCCTTGCATACCCGATCAAGAATTGATAGAAAGTCTCTCACAACCATGAATATTCTCTGAAAGGATAAGCCTCTTCCTTCGCTGAGTTTCCGTGAAAATATTATGTGATCTCCTTCACCAGCGTCAGTGCAACACTTTCTTGAGCTTGAATTCTTATAAGCTCCTCCTCAGCCATCTTCATGAAACCACTCATTGATTCAGAAAATTTCTGGCTGTTGCCCCCCGCTGACCCTGCTGCTTCAATTGATCGTACAACCTCAGCAATATTTCCAATTCCTTTCGACAGCTTCTAGACATCACTATTAAGCACTTTAGAATCCATAGCAGCAGCTTTCTTGACATTTACAAGTTCTGAACTAAGGCCCGAAACAACCTGAAGCCGCCTTAACCAAGAAAAAATTGTCAGATGCTATTGGTCAATGTTTCTCTAGTCGCAATCTTCAAGTCTTGGAGGTACACGGTCCACTGCCCAATTTCCCCAAGTACGAAGCCCAATACATGTATGCAAGCCTTCTTAAATTGAAACTAACCACAATGGGGATAGAGGAATATTCCATGGAAACTCCGGAAAGGCTTCCTAATCTCCGGTCACTTCACTTGCGAAACCTAAATATTCTCGGGAAAGAGATGAGGTACAAGGCAACAAGTTTTGGCCAACTTAGATTTCTTCGTTTTGAATGTCTACACAACTTAGAGAAGTGGAATGTTGATGAAGGAGCCATGCCCAACCTTTCGGTATTAACAATTGTATATTGCCCAAAGCTGGAGATGGTTCCGAATGGATTGAGATTCGTTAAAATGCTGAGAGAGTTGAACATTGCATCGATGCCAAAGGAGTTCACAGATAAAAGAGATAGGATTTTGACAAAGTCAGCCGGTAACTCAGCCGGTTCAGAAGGTAATTTCCACTTTAGTTATGAAATTTAGGGTGTTTATGTGGAGGTTTTTAAACAATAAAGGGGTAAGGTATCTTTTCGCTAAACCATAAGGGGTTACTTGTATTTTACCCTTAAAGATTATATGCATAAGGGCATATCGATTCGTGTCTCGTAGGTTAGTACATGTCCGCCATTAAAGCTGAAGAAAGTCATAAAGTGGATATCGATTCGTGCCTCAGTGGTTTCCAGGTGGATAGGTGGGTTCCCTTATCAACCATTTTGGAAGAGGCTTATGTTTGGAAAAAACAACGCACCTAAGTACGTTGCAAATTTTAAGTCCCCGAGGTCTTTGGTTCGATCTCTATTATTTACTATAGTTGCTGGACATCTGTGGGGCGGGCTCTCTCCTTAGAACAAAGGGTTTGTATGTTAATTAATTTTCTTCACAAGAAAAGTGTTGATTAATCATTCGTCCCTACGGGTTAGTTCCAGCGGTCCGCTCCCCCTAGTTAGGGTATGGCGACCAAAAGGTCCTGGCCAACCAGGGTTCGAGTTCTGCGTGCAAATGCTCGGTGTGGAGTGGGGTTTCCTTTCCCGGATCGCAGGGGATTAGTCGGGTCATTAGGTATTACCAATCCGAAAATCCGGATACCCCTGTGTGGAAAAAAAAAATCATTCAATCATTTTAATTGTAATAGTGTTTAAACAAACATATTAGAATATGGCATATTGGTATTGGAATAGATACGGTATCTTTTTTTTTCTCCGAAAATTTTATCGTGGGGTGATTACGTGATATTTTCAGAAAAATGTTTTCCGCCAGAGTCTTCTAATAACAAGAGTCTTCCACTGATAAGGTAACTGCCATCAGAAAACGAAAATTTAATAATGTGATGCATGAACTAGGCTCCAATTCTCATTCTAATGCAATTCCAACTCCGATAAGAAAAAAAAGGTTTAATTCCTATGGAAACTCTAGAAATTTATAGAAGTTCAAATTAGGATGAACAACTGTCCCTGGAGGGATTACAAGCTGAAGGTTGAATTGGAATAGGAATCAATTGCCTCGAGAGAAGAAAATTCATGAAATCCCAGCATGTATTGATGAATGGTAATTCCACCCTATATCGTGAATAACAAAACAAGAAGGAAAAAGGAAACAAAGAAAGAAAGAAAAGGCGAGTTTGAATCAAATAGTCAGTATAGAACTACTACCTTCTTGTTTGCTACGGTGAACGAAGGGCTGTCCGATGCTGTTGGTGGCCGCCGCGGAAAATTAGCGGAAACCATTTACGTGTCATTGTAGGATCCAATGTGGGGGGTCATTTTGGTAAACGCGAGTTCTTGTATTCCGGAATATTCCCTTTGATACGGGAAACTTTTAATAGGGAAAAAAAAAAAAAGAGGTCAAAACCAAGAAGAAGAAGTAATATTACTAATATTCGTGTGGGGTGGCATTTGCTGTTGGTTCCCTATATAACCGAAAAAATGGTGGGAGGAAGGTTGAGCAGGCGCGGTGCTGATACCAAAGAGAGGGATTTTCTCTCAAAGTATCGCCCTGCATTCTTGCAGGGTAGGTAGGTAGGCCTGCTCTGGTCACCACCAACCAGAACGAACAAAAAAACTCCCCACCCCAGTTGATTAAACATCCTTTCTCTCTTCTCAATCCGAACCAGAATTCTTTGCTGGTTCATCCATTGGCATTAACCATGCCCATGCCGGTGCCGCTTGAAGAAAACTTCAACGACAACACCACCTCTGGCGGCATCATCAAAGAAGATGGCGTTGCGGCTAAAGAATCGGCATTCATTCCCACTGCCGATACGGGTACGGCTACCACCGTCGTTCCATCAATGAATAAAAATGGGAAGATGAACATTAATAACAACCGTAATAAGGAGGAGGAGGAGGAGAAGAAGAAGAAGAAACGCCCCTTGGGCTTCTTCAGAGCTGCATTAATGTTGCTGCGATCTGATTCCAAGTCCAAGAAAAAACCACCGCCCGCTCCAGACGTAGTGGACCCTGATGATAGGATCCACTCCAAGACGAAGTGGGAGAAGATGGTGGGATCGATGAGGCCGTTGCATCTGCAGGACAACCGCTCCCTCTCCCCCGCTTCACCCCCCCGGCCAGGGGTTGAAAGTTTGGAGTCGGAGGATCTGATTTATAACAACAGCAGCGCCATGATGAGCATCCATCAGTACCAGCCCTCCTCCCCATCACCATCCACCGTCTCCTCCGGTGGCACCATGAGCCAATACGCTTCCGCTAGCAATCTCCAAGAACTCGAACAAGACTACTACCAGGGTAATGATGACGATGATCCTGATGAGGTTTTTGATGCTCTGTGCGGGGATGAAATGATCGACGCCAAGGCCGAGGAGTTCATCGCTCAGTTTTACCAACAAATGAAGCTTCAGCAAATCAATTGACGACATTCACCAATCACCACCGCTGCGATCCCATAAATGTCAATCGTATTGATGCTGCAGGCGTCAGGTGCCCCAATAAAAGGATATTCACCACTCCCTGTTTCTGCTCCCCACACACACACACACACATTGATTTCATTTTTTCCATGCATTTTCCCTCGAGTCTTTTAACTTAGCTTTTTCATGGGTGTAATTAATGTTGCATAGGCCGACAGATTTATAGCTTCTTCAGTTCTAAATCACTTATTAATGAAGAAAAAAAAACGCAATGTAACTGCGAATTACGCAGATCGCAGCGCAAAGAAGAAAATTGAATACCACATTTGTGCTATCTCCGGGGTTTTTTCTTTTTCTTCTTATTCTTTCTTTTTTCTTATTCTACTGTGGATTGTATTTACACTGACACACACACACACGCAGAGAAGGGTGTTGGCTGGTTAAAAAGGTTGTTGCTTTTAGTTTTATTACTCCGTTGAATTAAAAGTTTGTAATTTCTTAACGAATTCCTGCCTCACATTGGCAAATCATTCTCTGTGAGTACTACTTTTCTTTTGCATTACCACTTCTTACCTAGCTAATTAATTACTGCCCATGTTTAATCTACTTAAATAAAAAAATCCGGGGAAGGGAACCATCAAAAGCTGGAGTCATCAGGCATCAGGCATTGATGCCTGAGGTTGGAGGAGTCATCAGGCATTGATTCATTTGCTCAAACCCCAATCTTTAAACATCCGCCAATAAATTTCCCTAATTCGAGAACATAAAGCACCAGAACTGCATAATGTCAGAAATTAATGTCGAAGATCGTGCCAGCGTAATAATAACCTCAATCTAACAGATTGTAAACACTGGAACGAACCCCAAAAAAAAAAAAGAGCATGAAGAATCTGCGTCCAAATAAGCAATCCATCACTGATATTAGCACATAAGCATTAAAAGAAGAATGAGAACATCCGAGAATAGGAATTGA